GTGGCAACAGTAGTGAGGTTGGCCCAGGATCGGGCAGTGTTTCGTTCTGCTGTGTGTAAGGTCACTATAGGTCAGTACTGACTCGATGGCACCTAACAACAACAATATATTCATGTGAAATTTGGACAATGAATAAGGAAGACAGTAGAAGAAATGAAGCATTTGAGTTATGGTGTTGGAGAAGAATATTGAAAATACCATGGACTGCCAAAGGAACCAACAGATTTGTGTTGGAAGAAGTACAGACAGAGTGCTCCTTAGAAGCCAGCATAGCCAGACTTCATCTCTCATATGTTGGACATATTGTTAGGAGGGACCAGTCCTTGTGGAAGGACATCGTACTTGTAAAATGGAGGAACAGCAAAAACTAGGGAACCCCCCCCCCACAACAAGTTGATTTGCACAGGGCCAGCAACAACCGGCTTAAGTGTAGCAGCAAATTGTGGGGATGACACAGGACTAGGGGTGTTCGTTCTGATGTGCATGGGGTCACTATGAGTCAGAACCAACTGAACGGTACCTAACAACAGCTTATCTATGGATCACCTTGTCGATCAAGTGATAGTCATGCGGCACTAAACCTTATCATACACACACACATTCTTACGTCTATAGATGCATGCAAGAAGCTCTGGTAGGGAAATGGGTTACGAACTGGGCTGCTCACCGCAAGGTCAGCAGTTGGAAACTATCTGTTGCTCCGTGGGAGAAAGATGAAGCTTTCTGCTCCCATAAAGATTTACAGCCTTGGAAACCCTATGCAGGGTTACTATGAGATTCCACGGCACACAACCACCATCTCCATATATGTGTGTGTGTCTTTATGGAGGTTGGTTCCAACTCATGGCAACAGGGTATAGAATTTTCAAGGACTGGCTGGTGGATTTGAACTGCCAACCTTGTAGTTAACAGTCCAGTGCTTATCTTACAGTTCCACACCAGGAGATTATTTACATATATACATATATACACCAGGTGTGGTGCTGTGGGATAATGCACTAGACTGCAAAGTCTGTTTGAACCATAAGGTCGGAGGTGCAAACTCAGAAGCTGCTCCTTGGGTACCCTATACAGAGAACTGACTCAATGGCACTTAGTCCTGGTGTGGCACCATAGGATAAAGCACTTGACCACAAGTTCTATTAGAGCTGCTCCTTGGAAAACCTACACAGGGTTACTGTGAGTTGGAACCAACTCAATGATATTTAACAACCACACACATATTGTTGGAGAGCAAGAGAGATAGTCCTGACATGATGCTGTAGGATAATTACTGGGACTCAAGGTCAGTTTGAACCCTTTACAGGCACTTATGTGTGTGTGTGTGTGTGTGTGTGGATCACAGTGGCACTATAAGATAAACACTGGACTTTAAACACAAGGTAGAGAATTTGAGGCCCCCAGCTGCTCTGTGGAAGAAAGATGAGGCAGTCTGCCCCCAGAAACATTTACAGTCACCATGGAAACCCCATATAGGGTTGCTATGAGTCGGAACAGACCTGACAGCAGTGGTCTTGGTTTGGATGTGCTCTAACATCTGAAGAAATGAAGAAGCAATCCACCACGGAAGCAGGAAGCCCAGATGGGAAGGAGAGAGGCCGCATGGAGACCCGGGGGGAAGCTTCCTCCAGACACGATGCATCACCCTGACCCTTCGGCCTGCAGCCTTCACCACTCCCACACCTACACCTTCGGTGCACATGTATAAACTTTGCTCTGCAGGGGCCCTACCTGTGGTACATCACATTCCCTCCTTGAGCCTCAGTGTTCCCATCTGTAAAATGGAGGGACCGAGTGGTCCCACTCCCAGCCCTGCCCTTTGTGCTGTGTGATAGTGGGAGGGGTCGTGAGGATTGGGGAGGCCGAGGCTGCCCGCTCCACAGAGTCTCTCCCAACAGCAGAAGGTGAATAAAACACTTTAATGACATGGAACTGATTTGGGATGCGCTGTGGAGAAGCCCCCAGATCCCCTGACAGGTGGGCGAGGGACTCGCCTTAGTACTTGAGGAGCCAACGCGGCTTGTACTGGCTCAGTGAGCTGAGGTAGGACCACCACCAGGGCTTGCCCCCATTGACAGGGGGCTGCCTCCGTGCCCCCAGGAGCTCTTCCTGTTGTCCCCTGTCTCCCGGCTGGTCTTGGGACCCCATCCCCCCTCTTCGAGGCCCAGGGAGGAACTTCTTGGGTCCTTCTTTCAGGGGCTGGAGGATGAAGTCCACCCTGCCGGCCTTCCTCATGCGGGCAGGGATGGTGACCTTCTTGATAACCTTGGAGTAACCCGGGGCTTGAGCAATGACGATGTGAGACCCTGGGGACAGCAGTCTCCAGTAGTCACCATCAGGGGCTGTGGACAGAGTGAGTTAGGTCCTCCTGAGACCAGGCTGAGGGCAGGCAGACCCCAAACCGCACTGGATTTGCACTGCCGGGAATGTCCTCCCACCTCATCCCTCCTCAAACTCCTATTCACCCTACAAAGCCCTGCTTAGGCACCACCTCCTCCCTGAAGCCCTCCTGGCCACCCACATCACCCAATGCAGCTCTCACTCAGGCGGGGCTGGTTAACCTGCCTGTCGGCTGTGAATCCCCAAAGGCTTCAGAGCCCAAGCAGAGAAGGTAAACCCTGGGGCATAGCATTCAGGGGATTGAGGAGACCCGTCCCAGCAGAAGTGTCCACAGCCTTTAGTAGTCTTTGCCTGAGAAAGCCCTCCCTATGTTAAGTGTCACACAAGCCCAGCCTGGTGCCCCCTGGGGTCCACCTCCACCCAGAGCCTTGCCATATGGGGTCCCCTCCCACCTGGGTCCTTGCTCACCAACATCACCCATACCTAGAGTCTCCCCGTAGCTGGGTCCCCTAACTTGGTCTCCCTGTACTCAGGATTCCCTAACACCTAGGTCCCCTCAAACCTGAGTCCCCATCCACCATCCCCCCTGGTTCTTCTTCACTCAAGGTCCCTCCAACTCCCTTCCACCTGGGACCCCCTCCACACAGGGTCACCACCTACCCAGAGTCTCCCCCTGCCTGAATCTCCACCATCCAAGATCACCTACACCCAGGGTCCCTTCCATACTCAGCAGCCCCCCACCTGGCTCCCTCCCCCTCCTCAACGGCCACAGAGGATGATTCCTGCAAACCCCAAAGCCTCGCCCAGCTGCAGGTGGGAGCCGAGATCCCTACCTGTGGTGACATCATGGCGGATGCCCTTGACGATGACCCGGGCATTCCTGACCGGCTTCCCGAATTTGTCCATGACCACGCCTTTGATGCCGCGGTGCACCTGAGGGTGAGGATGAAGGCTCCCGGGTGAGGGTGTGCTCCGGGGAACCCACCCTTCCCTACAAGCTGCTCCCTCTCAGGGCCTCAGTTTCCTCATCTGTAAAAACCAGTCTCTGCTTTCAAACACCCTGAATACGCAGAGAGTAGGAATGCTGCCCCGGAACCACTATGGGTCCCCGCAAAAGGTCAGCGCACCCACGGGCAGGCAAAAGTGTCATTGTCTCATGGGGCTGGGGGGCGGTGAGGTGGGGGGAGTGGGCAGGGAGACGGCAGCTCCCACTGCTGGCTGCCAGGCCTGCTCAGGATCACGGCCCCAGAGGCCTCAATTGGCCGCGACAGACTCGCCCTTATCGGCAGGCATCGCCCGGTTCCCACAGGGCCGTCCATCTTGCTGGCCACCATGCGGGCTATTAAATCTTTATACCCCAAGACTTCGAGTGCAATCTCCCCAGAGCCATTCCAGCTCCATTTAAGGCTCCTTAAACCTGGTTTGCAACAGACAGCCGTAAAATGAAATGAGCCTGTGGTCTGGCCAGAAGCCCTGATTGAATGAACCCAATTGCTGGAGGTCGCCCAGCCATAAAAAAGAAACCAAAGCAGCCTTATTAATGTCCAATTACCATCCGGGCTGCAATGTTCTCCTGCCACTGATCTAAGGCTCTGGCCTGGAGGAAGGGTCCTTCTCCTTCTAGGAAGGAGGGGGCTTGGGGCAGGCCAACCTGGCCTTGAGGAGGCAGCTTTAGATCCTCGGTGTCCTCCACTCGGACACTCAGTCTCCTCCTCTGTGATCGTCTGAGCACTAGATTGCTCACCGCAAGGTCGGCGGTTCAAACCTAGCAGAGTACCCTCATTAACCCTATAAAGGGGCGCTATGAGTGGGAACAAGAGCCTTGAAACCAAGAGCCACCAAGTCCCACCACTTCTTATCCCCACGCGCCTCACTCCAACCAGGCCTCCAGGATCCAGCCACGCCCCTCCATCAGCCACGCCTCTCCATCAGCCACGCCTCTCCATCAGCCACGCCCCTCCATCAGCCACGCCTCTCCATCAGCCACGCCCCTTCTGTCCAGCCACGCCCTCCATCCAGCCTCCCAGAGGTCCAATGTCCTTGGAAAGCCATCTCTTTGCCCTGCTACTTCCTGTGCCTTCTCTTTTCTCCTGTCTTTATTAAAGACATGAGGTGCCACCACCTCCAGGAAGTCCCCAGGATCCCGGTGGGGCCAGGGTCCCCCTTCAGACTGTGAAACAATGGGTGTGCTGTACCTCCAAACATCCCGCAGAGAGCCCCTGCCCTGTTACCCCCAGGACCTTCTGAGGAGCCTGAGTCAGGCGCATCGCGGTGGAAGGTCCCAGAGGTGCCCGACCCAAAACGAAACCGAGATAGCAGCGGGGCCTGCCCCTAAAAACACCAAATCTGCCTAGTGGGCTGAATGGCGATCCTTTTTGTCAGGTGCCAGCCAGTCAGTTCCGACTCACAATGACCCATAGACAGCGGAAGGGAACACTGCGGGGTCCTGCGCCGTCCTCACTGTGGTGGCGACATCTGGCTACATCTGAGCTCATTGCTGCTCCCACCGTGTCAGTCTAATGGTGGTGGTGGTGTGCTGTGGAGTCCGTTCTGACTCATTGCGACCCTGTGCAGGGTTTCTAAGGCTATAAATCTTTGTTGTTGTTGTTGTTAGGTGCCATCGAGTCGGTATCGACTCATAGCGACCCTATGCACAACAGAACTAAACACTGCCTGGTCCTGGGCCAACCTCACTATTGTTCCCACGCTTGAGCCCATTGATGCTGCCACTTGTCCAATCCATCTCGTTGGGGGTCTTCCTCTTTTTCTCTGACCCTCCACCTTACCAAATATGATAGCCTTCTCCAGCGACTGGTCCCTCCTGACAATATGTCCAAAGTATGAGAGACGAAGTTTGGCCATCCTGACCTCCAAGGAGCACTCTGGCTGCACTTCTTCCAACACAGATCTGTTTGTTCTTTTGGCAGCCCATGGCACTTTCAATATTCTCCTCCAACACCGTAACTCAAAGGCATCAATTCTTCTACGGTCTTCCTTATTCACTGTCCAGCTTTCGCATGCATATGAGGTTATTGAAAATACCATGGCTTGGGTCAGGCGTACCTTAGTCCTCAAGCTGACATCTTTGATCTTCAACACTTTAAAAAGGTCTTGTGCAGCAGATTTGCCTAATGCAATATGTTGTTTGATTTCTTGACTGCTGCTTCCATGAGTGTTGATGGTTGATTCAAGAAGAATGAAGTCCTTGACAATTTAAATCTTTTCTCTGTTGATAAGAATGTTGTTTATTGTTCTAGTGGTGAAGATTTTTGTTTTCTTTACGTTGAGGTGCAGCCCATACTGAAGGCTGTGGTCTTTGATCTTCATCAATAAGTATTTTAAGTCCTCTTCACTTTCAACAAGCAAGGTTGTATCATCTATGTATCACAAGTTGTTAATGAGTCTTCCTCCAATCCTGATGCCACGTTTTTCTTCATACAACCCAGCTTCTTGGATTATTTGCTCAGCATACAGGTTGAATAAGTATGGTGAAAGAATACAACCCTGTCGCACACCTTTCCTAATTTTAAACCATTCAGTGTTCCCATGTTCTGTTTGAACAACTGCTTCTTGGTCCAGGTGCAGATTTCGCATGAGCACAATTAAGTGTTCTGGAATACTCATATTTCGCAATAATGTCCATAGCTTGTCATGATCCACACAATGGAAAGTCATAAATCTTTATGGGAGCAGAAAGCCTCATCTCTCTCCTGAGGAACGGTTGGTAGTTTCAAACTGCTGACCTTGAGACTAGCAGCCTGACTGGTAACCACTACACTATCAGAGTCCCTTGTCAGTCTAAAGAGTAGAGCCTAATTTGTATCCTTAGCCCCACCCCCATGTGTCCATCTGAGTGTTGCTGTGATGCTGGGAGCTAGGCCACTGGTACTTCAGGTCCCAGCAGGATCACCCATGGTGGACAGGTTTCAGCAGAGCTTCCAGACCTAAAGAGACTAGGAAGAAAGGCCTGGCGATCCACATCTAAAAATAAGCCAATGCAAACCCTAGGATCACAGCAGAATAGTGTCTGATAGACTCAGGAAAGTGAGTCCCAATGAGAGGAGCTCATGAACACAAGGATGGTGGGAATGTCACAGGACCAGTGTTTCCTTCTGACTCAACAGCACAACTCGCACCCAGTCCTGCAGGGCCTTCTGCCTTGAAGTGCTAACTGGAGCCCGAAGAGGGTGGCTGGTTCCCAGTATCAACTGGTCACGCTCAGCCCAACTCAGCGGCCCTTCATGGAGGCCCTCTGTCATAGGCCTGCCCACACCCAGTGGGACCCAGTGCCAGCCAGCATGATGAATCATTCACTGGTGTGACTCCCGGGGTGGCGTTGTAGAATAAGGACTGGATTGCAAGGTCGGCGGTTCAAACTCACCAGCCACTCCTCGGAACCCCTATACAGGGTGGCTGTGAGTCCTAACTGATTCAACAGTACTTAACAGCAACAACAAACAGCCAAGAAGGCGTCCCTGGGTGGTGCAAACAGTTAAGCGCTCGAATACTAGCTAAAAGATTGGAGGTTCAAATCCACGCAGAGGTGCCTTGTTTCCTGGTGCCACTGAAAACCCTGTGGAGCACAGTTCTGCTCTACACACAGGGGGCCACGAGGAGGTGAGGGATGTGAGTGAACGAGAGACCGGGAGGGTGGGGTGCAGCCTGGGCCCCCTCACGCCGCTGAGTGCTCACCATCTCCAGGAAGCTCAGAAGGGATTCCTTGTTGTGCCGCCAGAGCGTGTACAGTGCCTCCTGAGGCGGAAACTTCACGCAGCCCAGCTCCACCGTGATCTCGAAACAGTTGGTGTGGAGGTAGTTGAAGTCAGACATTCCTGTGGGTGGGCGGGGCCAGGGTCAGGGGCGGGAGTGCTGGGTGTGTCTCTCCAAGTTCACGGCCTATCACCCAGAGAGTGACCCAGTCCAGAGGTGGTGGTGATGGTGGCGGTGTACATTGGAGTCACTTCTGACTCATAGCAACCCTGATGGGGTTTCCGAGGCTGTAAATCTTTACGGGAGCAGAATGCCACATCTTTCTCCTGTGGAACGGCTGGTAGTTTCGAACCACTGACCTTGAGGTTCGCAACCAGAGTTGCATTGTTATTACAATCCCCACTCTACAGACGTGAAGACTGAGGCACCAGCGGCTGAAGGATCTGGCCCCCTCGCCCTCCCCATGAGGCATGAGGGAACATCGGTGGTCTCACATCAACACCCACATGGGTAACCGCCACCCCCATTGCCTCTCGCCGTGTGGAGCATGAATCAATTTCTAGCAGAGAAACGTCCAGCGACTCACAGGCTTCAGGTCTGGACACCTGAGGAGACCCACACTCCCAATAACCATCCTGGTCCTGTCCATGGACCCTGGCTGTGTCCTGACAATTGCCTCAGGTTTTCCGGTTTTTCCGAGAGTTCAGGACTGCACAGGCGGCTGGGCAGGCCCGGGTCTGGAGCGTCAGCTCTGCCTCAGCTCCCACCGGTGTCAGGAGCAGTCCCGCCCCTCCATCCTGGGAGCCCCGGCCACCCCCGTAGCCACGCACCTCCGGTGAAGCTGTACCAGTCCGCCCCGTTGATGATGCTCCCCCTCTTGAGGAAGTTCCCCCCACACCTGTGCTCCGACTTCTCCATCATCATGGGGTGCACGTCGGCGTAGGATCGAGCCAGCAGTTTGAACATCTGGAATGGAGAGAGCAGAGGAGACCTGAGAGTGGCCCCATGGGAATCCCAATATCACGGGAGTGGAGAGGGGGCGAGGAGCAGCATCCAGGAGAAGGGTATGAAAGGGCCTGGGGTGGGTCACAGGCAGGAGGGCTGGAGCTCAGGGCACATGAAGCGCATGGAGTGACCACGGATTCCAACACCTGACCAAGGACTGGGGGTTTTATGGTGAAGGCACACACGCCAAAGTGATGTCCATGGGTCAGTATCACATGTATGGGGCCCTCTTCTGCCATGGGGACAGGCTGGAAAAGGGCAGCGAGAGGGATGCTGGCAGCACCTCCACATCATCAGTGCCCATCTCCCCAGGAAACTTCACCAACAAGTCATCTTCATTCACTGTCCAGCTGCCCAAGTCCCCCTGATGGCCCCTCCATGGAGCTCACAGGGCCTGCGCATCCCTGAGTGGAGTCCTTGGGCAGAAGCATGTCAACATCTGTGAGGAGGGGTCTGAGAGCTTCTCCCCACCACCTTTCCCATGTGGGGTGGTCCAAGGAGACTCACTCAGACCAGGTCTCCATCATCTGGGTACCCAGGGCTAGACATAGGGTCCTCACTGCAGACCAGATGGACAAGTGAACTTCCCTTGTTACAGATTGAGTTGTTGTTGTTGTTGT